TGGCACCTTCATTACAAATATTAATTATTCTTTTTTCTTGGTTTCTTTTTCGATAATTTTTTGTTGAAAATCCTAGTTGACATCTTCAATGCAAATATCAATTATTAATTTCTTTTTTTTTTTTTGTTTCTTTTTCAATATTTTTTTTTTACCATTGTTATTACTGAACTCCTTTCAAAGAAAATACACTGAAAAAAAAAACACTTGCCATAAAATATCGCTCAAATTGATATCAGATATAGCTTGATACATAGTTATTTGTAATTTAATTTTTTCACTTTTGTTATAATTATTAGAAGTAAAACTAAAATTCCCCTCTTTTATTTAAGCTAACTAAGAGTTCCACACCATTTACAGAATACTCTAGGGAAAAAGTCATTTTCATTTTTGGGTTCACTAGGCTAAATGGAGGTGGAGTTACCTAGTTTATGTTCTTTGGAGTAATAGCCAACTATATACAGTATATGAGAATGCTGATAATTAACAGCAGGGATAAAATAAATATAGACAAAATAAGAATCAACTGGAAAATTATACAAGTACAGAAACCTTAGGTGTGATGAACAGGCATTACTGATTTTTTTTTATTCTTTCCTATAATTAAAGAGAAAACCCCTTTTCTTTTCCACAGCCTCTCAGATATGGGAGTTAGGTCAGCAGAAACAGAACACCATGGAGTTTGCAGAAGCTGTGGACGAATCTGACCTGGAGGCATTTGGGTTCACCGATGACTTCATCTTTGAGCTTTGGGGAGCAATTACCGATGCCAAGGCTGGTAGACTGAAGAAATAAGAGTCGGTACAAATGTCATAGATACCACAGGATCTGGAGATGAAAATGGAATGAGTAATGCATATAGTATAGTGTAATGTTTACAAGACTTCCATGAATATTGTGTTTTACATGAACATTATATGGGTTATACAAACTTTTATTGTCCCTCTGAGTATTGAATTCAAGCATAAATATGCAGATGCGACGTGACTGTGTGTGTAATATTCAGTGGTTATTGCAGTTTGAATCATAATCCAGGCACTTCCTAAGGGAGAATTTCTGGTGTCAATAAATATGATAATATTTTTACATTATCTGATACAGAACACTAGCTAATTCAAGAAAGTGTTTGCTATTTAGAGTAGTGAAGCTTTTTCATAATGAAAGGCATATATACATATCTGTAATGGAAAGACAAGCTATCATGATATAACATCTCTCAAATGTAATTTTTAAAATGTCAATGCTTGACTGGAATTAAAGTGACAATTTATGATACCTGTTTATTTATGTATATCTTACATATATACTTATTTGAAACAACACCACAATGCAAAGATATTATGAGTATTTTATTTTTGTCTTTTTAATTAAAGCTGCTCTTGGTGTATGATTATCGTTTTGATTTTGTACGCGCAGTCCACAGAGACAATAAGTTCGTTATACAAGTTGCTTTTCATGTGACTTTTATATAGCCAAGTGAGAAACATGATATACAATATTACAAGATGGTCTACTGAGCCTTGTGGTGTGTGCGAGTGTTTGTCAAGACTTTTTTACTTAAAGAATGAACTCCTCATCATTACTTAGGTTTGATGTACACGTTTAGGAGAATCATTTACACATCTGTTAGATTTTACACGATCCTGATAATACCATATTGCAGAATGCATGTGTGAATGAATGTTCTTAATCATACAATCATGAAGTCACCAGTTGATTCCGAATCCTCATAATTCACACAATTATATACTGATTAGTATCTGCAGAAACATAAACTGTAATTAAGAGGCCTAATTTTATTCAAATGTGCTCGAAAGTGATAGGTACCACTTTCTTCACTTTCTGAAAGCTGGATTATGTGGAGCAAAATTACCTTCTTTAGATATCCCCTTCCACTTGAAAACTAGTTACATCCAAACCTTATGTAATGCACAGGAATTTTGGCCAGTGATATTGTAATAGAAATGGAAAGCAGTTCACCAACTGGAGGAAAATGAACTAGGAAAGTATAAAATAGTTTGAGAAGGACTGAGAATGCCTGAGATGTTAATGGAATTCAGTAGCAGTAGCCTGAAGTTATTGTCATACTGATATATTTTTTCATTGACCAAATAGAATATGTTTATTTGGTTCCTTAAACTTAAAGATATTTCCATACTTTGAATTCCTATATTCTTGATACTGCTAGCTAGATATAGTATGAAGTGGTGACGTCTGGACAGATTCAACCTTCAGAATCCCTTTTTATTTGAAGTGACGTGTTTGTATTGCTAGATAAGATGAAGATGTCCTTACCACCAGATTTCCAATTCAAGTGTAAAGACAGGCATAAATGTAGGGTTATGTTTTTGAGGAATGCTGAATGTTCTAGCTGCTACTCTTGTTTTCATCTGCTTGAGAACTGACAGGGGACCCTAAATACTGTAAGAATGGAAGTAACTATGTTTTCTTTCCACAAAACTTACTATTCTTTTCTCTTGTGCTAAAGTATTACTATTATACA